CTCTCCCATCGGGGAGGGAAGTTAAGTTGTTCTGCTGACAAAGAAGCCAGTTTAAAGAACCTGTTGCCTTACTTTCATAGGCAAAGCGCAGCTTCACATTAAAGTGAACCTGTAAAGAACAAAATATAGATGCTTCCATTGCTGACCTATTGCACCTTCCGGAGGCGTCATCCTTCTCCAACCTCCTCCTATCAAGTGAGTGAAGGACCTGAAACGAGTTCATAAGTCGCTGGCTGCCTTCTTGTTGCTTCATGGCAACTGACTAAGTCATGAAGCCAGGATGACAGAAGCCCTGGAATCGGCACATGTTGCTTCCCATCTTTCTCTTCTGAAGGATTCCCATTTATTTTGGCGATTTATGGAAAAATGTCTTTGAAGATCCTTCTCTGAAGCCGCCCATCCTGTGATTATAATCTGGTTTTTGGCCCCATTTTGGATTTTAAGTGGTATTTTTTTTCTGTGCGATCAGATGTTCAGCCGTGTGTGTGCGTGTGTGCGTGTGTGTGTGTGTGTGTGTGTACATGTGTGTCTGTACATTTATCAAAGTCTTTGTATAGCTTGAAAAGTGATATATAAAAATGTCAGAAGTGTAAATATGTTTTAAGGCATTTTTAATTTATAAAATCTGTTTTATTGTACTTCCATTTTCTTGCCGTCTGTCAATCTCCAGATTTCTGGTAATGGGTGATCAGTCCGGTCATTCATGTTACAATCAGATTGTACGAACTCTACAACTTCTATGACGTGTGAGGGCTTACCTATGTAATCTTTATTTGTATCCAGTCTTGAAGGCCCTTTCACTGCTTTTTTGTTGGTAGATCCAAAGAAGATTGTATAATAATGGTGTGTAACATGTATGACCAGTGTTGGAAGGTTCTAGAAAAAGGATTACCCAATAGAAGGGAGTTGTGGGTGAATGCCATTTCTGGCCTATTTGTATAAAACATAGTTCCACCGAGAGTCTTACCGCCAAGAAAGCCCCATATTTTTGCAAAATATACAAGAAGCCGAGCCAGGTAATATTGGGATGTTTTCATGCCGCTGCAGACTTCTTCCAATGCTACTAACATAACCAAAAGCCAAGGCATTAGTCATGTGATCTCTGTTAGAGGATGCACTCAAGTTCCAGCCTCCGCTCCTAAATGGTCAGAGTGGCTGTCAATCAACCAGCGGGGAGCTCTGACAGAAGCAGATTGGCTAAAAGCACAACTGCCTCTAGTTCACGTCGGTGGATGACCGTGTCTCGGCAGCATTGGGAGCTGGTGGTCACCCTGTTAAAGAAGGCCTCGGAGAGATCACGAACTGGCAGGATTTGTTTTAATGTAATTTTTGCTCACACCAATATATCAAATCTTGGACAATTACATTTACAAGGTAAAAAAGGAGCTATTTACACAACTTGTGTAGCATCTGGGTTTTTATTGGTCCATTCTGGTCTTCAGTTGGCATCATGTGACCACATGCCTAGGTGAGCTGCAGTGCCGAAAACGAATGCGGCATTTTCGCCAGGACACGTAGATATTTTAGTAATTCTCTCCCCACCAAAGTTGTCACCATAGGAGTGTTTCACGTCTGGGAGTGGCCGAAGAAATCATCACATGACATTTGCGGATTTGGTTCACCTACCCATGTACAGTTCTGGGTTAAAAACCCAGTTGGCGAGGCATCTGCTCACTGGACATCAAGCAAGTACGGTGTTTACCCAGAAGTTGTCCTTTTTGGAGAGTTGTTGCCCATTCATTTCCACGGGAGGAGTTCTAGATGCCCCCCTTCCTTCTATATAATACTCCAGATATGTGGGATGTGATTTATGGATGTTTTATGACTGTGATGTGCTACTGATTCACTTGGACCTGGAGCAGTGGCTACCATTTTTGTAGGATCGAGGACTATTATTGATTCACTAGCAACTAGTGATGTTACTAGTTCATAGGCCACATCTTCTGGGTCCAGTGAACAAGGTGGCCCCCTACCTGCTTGGTAAATAATATACAGGGCTGTCCTAATTATTCAGGGACATGCGGGTGAGGATCTAACAGAAAGATCACAGCAATCGTCGGTGGAGAGCTCGGTTGGGATTTGCAAATAAAAAGTTTATGGAGGGAAACAAAACCAGTTTTAGAGCATCTCCGACCTTTTTTATGGGTCGTTATCTCTGTTGTGAAATGTAGGTCACAAAACCAGCAGTCTATGGCAAGTGTTCTATCACCAGCCTTCCACACAATTCCTCCACCCATTTTAAAAGGGCAGTAAGCCTCCACCCCAAATCATTGTTCCCACATTATATTTGAATCTTTATCTCCAATCCTGATGGAGCTATCCGTGGGTTTGCGCTGCGGTCTTTTTCAGTTAATTATCGACCTCTCCTGAGCCTAGCGTGGACATCACATAGTGGTCAGGAGATCCATTCTGTAGGACAGAGGATCCGTTCTGTTGGACAGTAGTAGCGTAGACATGCCCCAGTGGGAATGTTTAAAGGTAACTTGTCATAAGAGGAAGCTGCCATTGTGGCTCCTACTTCTGAAAATGTTGGCTGTCTGCCATGCTGATCCTCTATTGTCTATACTTTGGTTTGAAGGTCCAGAACAAGCATGCAGATATGGACTTTTGACTTTTCTCCAGCAGTCTAAAGTTGACTAAGTAATGGAGCCAGAGGGTCAGCAAACCAGTCAGCTATATAACAAATTCAAATGGAGGTCAGCAATGGCAGCTCCTATATGATGCGTTTACTTTAATTACTGATCAGACCCTCCTGGCGTTGGTCCTATCTCAGGAAAACAATGCAGAACGTCTAAGAATATCCCCATTAGACGATCCCTTCTCCTGAGTTGGCCAGGAGGTATCTGCAGAGGACAAATACATTCTATACAATCATCTCTCAGTCCGAAAATGACCTGCAGGATCAGGACGCGATCGTCTCATGTCTGCAGCTAGATCCATTGGATCACTTATGGTCCTCCCTGTACTTAATCCGCAATGCTTGGCTGAACATAAAAGGATCCGAGTTGCTGAAAACTCAGAGAGATTATTTGAAGGTATAAAAAAAAAAAGAATATTGTGCATTTTATTTTTTTATTTGCCATAATAAAGATCTGAGTTTAGAAAGGGTCTATTTGAAGTTTTATCTGTTGTACATTCTGTTCTTTTATGTTATTTATATACATTAGCTTGTGGTTACCTCCTGATCAAGGTCTTTACATGAGCTTTATTTAATTTATGTTAAGATTTGCATATGGAATATCTGAGTAAAGGACAAGTAAGTAAATCCTTTTGTTTCTATGTGTCTTTATTTTATTTTCTTGCTATTTAGTCAAGCTTAGGGTGACGGGAGGACGCTAGTTTGTGTCCTCCCGTTACCCTAAGGAGAACCATGGGGAAAAGCCTTAACCCCATAGTTCTCCTTTAAGAAACGTACGATTAGCACATCTTGGACAGGCAGATCCTACTTGCAAACAGCGCAAGCCCACCCGCCCTGAGGGGCGGGCTTCCAATGACCGCAATGCTGAACGGGCAGTGTATATAAAGAGAAGGTTGTGTGTGACCAATCAGATTACAACTGTCATTTCCCTGACAGCTCCATGGCAGCACACAAATGGGATGGCCCAATTTGTGTGTTGCCATGGAGCTAGTCAGGAAAGGAAAATTGCGGTAAGTATGAAATAAAATTTTCCTGTTTTTGTAACTTGTCCTGGCCAAATGACATCTGGGATCCAGCCGTCTGTTGTGATCACTTTAGTCTTTGGCATTTTTTATATATTATAATTGGGGATGCATTGATACCGATACTAGTATCGGTGCCGAGTATTTGGGCGAGTAATCCTACTCGTCCAAATGCTCCGATGCCTAGCCCGATACTTCCGGTATCAGGAAGCCGGGCAGCTCGTCATTACACGCAGCCCGGCTTCCTGATTGGCCGGGAAGCCGGCTCCGTGCTCTCTCGTCACTCGTGTAATGACACGCTGCCCGGCTTCCTGATTGGTCGGAAGCTGACCATTCAGGAAGCCAGGCGCCATGTAACGACACGGCGCCCGGCTTTCTGATTGGTTTGGGAAACCGGCTTCATGCTCCCTCCTCACCTCATGACGAGGTAGGAGTACTCGCCCAAATACTCGGTATGGTTGCATCCCTAACGAATACAAACCACTCATGTGTCTGCTTCCCTCACTGATGACATATCTGTTGAGTACAGATGAGGGGAGGAGAAATCTCCCCTTAGACCAGGGTATAAGCAACCTCGGCACTCCAGCTGTGCTGAAACTACAAAACAAACATTATCCATCTGCCTATCAGAGTCATGTCCATGACTGTCAGTCTTGCAATGCCTCGTGGGACTTGTAGTGCCACAGCAGCTAGAGTGCCCAGGTTGCCTACTCCTGCTTTAGACAGTTTCCAGTTTAGCCAACAAGTACTTCATAGGCTGCTATTCAGATGGCAGGAAATTTGACTCCTATCTCCATAGTAACAGCCCAGAAAAGGTGAATAACTAGAGTTGGTGACCCATTGCTGTGATTTACCTAAAAGGTGAAAACACTCAAAAGCAATATTTCTTCTATAAAAGTCATACTTTTTATTGCAGTTAAACACACGTTTTTACAGTGCAGAATGGGATGGCCATACCAGATATGGTGAACTCTCCCTCCTATGTACAAAATATTGATGCATGGGAATGAATTGCAATAAATGAAATCCACAAATCCCAAAAACCACCTCGTCCAGGAAGGTAGATCGCCATAAGTGAATCCGAACTGTGCTAACCCCCCAAAGCAACTGGTCAGCTATCACCTTTCACTCTCTCTTTCTGATGAAGAATGACATTTGATTGGCTGATTGCCCATCGCCATTGCTGCTTTTACAGCCATCCCGTGTTCAGTGACTGTTCTCTGTTGTCATTTCAATAAAGTTCATTATAAAAAAAAAATTCCCAGACCAATTTATAAAACAAAAAAACAAGATGGAGGAAAACTGTCCCATGAGCCATGCAGACGGGCCATTGTCTAGGTTAGAAAGGTTCTTGTCTTTGTGTGTTGGTTATAAATTCATGGCTTCTGTCAGTTTCCTCTCTTCAGGTATACCATTGACCTGCAAAAATAATGAACACTCCAATCAAAACCAGAATGAAACCTTGAAAAGGATAGAGGCTTTGCAATCTGTCCCCTGCGTCAGTGTTCCATAGTGCATCAGTATCCCTATTCTTGGTATCTGGGAATCCCTTCCAGTAATTGATCAGGGATGTCCCCAAACACACCCACTTCAATACTTGTACTAAAAAGATTCTCACAGCTGCAAATGTTCCCCATGGAATGAGATGCAGTGCACTATTGCTGCCGATTTGGTTATAATTAAGGATGCACTGATACCGGTATTTTGGTATCGAGTACCGATATTTTTTTTCCGGTACTCGTCATGAGGTGACGAGGGAGCATGAAGCCGGTTTCCCAAACCATTTAGAAAGCTGGGCGCTTCGTCATTACATGGCGCCTGGCTTGATCACAACAGACGGCTGGATCCCAGATGTCATTTGGCCAGGACAAGTTACAAAAACAGGAAAATTTTATTTCATACTTACCGCAATTTTCCTTTCCTGACTAGCTCCATGGCAACACACAAATTGGGCCATCCCATTTGTGTGCTGCCATGGAGCCGTCAGGGAAATGACAGTTGTAATCTGATTGGTCACACACAACCTTCTCTTTATATATTGTCATCTATCTTCAATGTGGATTATGATCAACTAAAATGTTTCCTTTTGGTGCTTCTCTGTAACCCGTATGTAACTATGATTGCTACTTTGAATGCTGTCAGCCATATCAGCTGGAATAGCCTCTCTATGGCCCCTTTCACATGGACACCTTCAGTTCTGATCAGCAGAGGATCCGTGCACCATTGTGACATCCGTGTCCGTCCAGTTTGTTCCCCAACCAAATGTTCCCCTTGTGATGGAGGAAAAACCTGAAATGACCAGACCACTTGTTGATCTATGAGGAATCAGATGTAAACGGATATGTGTCCATCTACATCACATTAGCCACCACAATCAGGTCCGCAGAAACAGAACTCTGATCCATGTGTTTTTCTGTACCTGGCTGGGGCCGGGGGTAATCAGTTTTAGATGGACGCCCCCTCTGTTTATATCTGGCTGCCCATAGGGCAGGAGTGAGGAACCTCAGACCCTCCAGCTGTGGTGACTACAAAACCCATGAGGCATTGCAAGATTCTCACAGGCATGACTCCCAGAGATGCATCATGGGATTTGTAGTTTCACCACAGCTGGAGGGCCGGAGGTTCCCCACCCCTGCCATGGAGTAACATTGGCTCAGATCCGCATGAAAAACAGGAGGAACTGATTGGAAAGCCTGCGTACAAAGGTGCCCATACACTGCACGATTCTCGTACGAGAATCGCGGGAAATCCCGCGATCGTACGAGAATCGTGCAGTGTGAATGAAGACGTGCGACCGATTCTACTGTACGGTTGCACGTCTTACGATTTTCGGCTGGTTTGAATGATGCTCGGGGGACAAATGCCGAACGGGCCCGTGTGCGCATGCGTACACTGCCCGTTCAGCATTGCGGTCATCGGAAGCCCGCCCCTCAGGGGGGTGGGCTTGTGATGATCGCAAGTACCATCTGCCTGTCCAAGATGGGCAGATCGTACGTTAAGGCTTTTCCCCATAGTTCTCCTTAAGGTAACGGGAGGACACAAACTAGCGTCCTCCCGTCACCCTAAGCTCAGTATACCTCGAGCTGCAGCTCGCGGTATACTGAGACGCCGCAGCTGAAGCGGATCCCGACAATTATGCCGGGATCCGCCCAGCTGCGTGAGTGACAGCTGGCTCTGCCCATCTAGAGGCAGAGCCAGCTGTACCCGCCCCCTCTCCCATCCAATCCACCAGTCAGCGCTGAGGGAGCGGGGAGGGGGGAATCCAGCCCCTCCCCAGTCACGGCAGAGAGCTGTGACAGGATGGAGAGGTGTGCGAACGCCGGTATGTGTTCGCTCACCTCCCGATCTACTGAGCCGACCTGTGACAGTCTCATTGTCACAGGTCGGCTAGAACTATGAGGTGAGTGAAAAGCACTCCCCTCATAGTTCTCCTTTAAAGTACTTTACAACCCTCGCTAGACAAAAGTCTTGCGAAGGTTGTAAAGTGTATTGCCACCTTAAGGGCCATAACCCTTTTACTTCAGAGTAACCCTTGAAATAAGTTTCTGGGGAACCCCTGCTAAGACCAATTCATTGGGGACCGGGTGGAAGATTTATAAATCGGCCCCTAAGTGCTTCACATAGAGTAAGCCCTAATATCATTGATAAAGCCTAAGCAGTTGTACATTGCTGGATCAATATAAAAAAAATCAATCAGGTCGGCTCCCACACGTGATCCATCACAGCAAAGTTTGAAATAAAAGGAAAGAGTTGATTGTTGATTATACTTACTTCAAACCTCTGAAATGTTGCCATGCGGAATTCTCCTTTGGATTCGGAAAGCAGTAATGAAGAGGAAGAACAATATGAAATTCCCCAATCTGCTTCCATCTGCAGTTCTCACACATATTTGTTTTTTTGGTCACACAGGATAAAGTTTTAAATGTAATTTAAAGGTCAATGTCCCCAAAATGGATGTTTCGGTATTTGCTACATGCAGGAGTGCTATTCCTCAGGGACTCTACTGTGAGATCTCTGAGTTCTCAGGTCTGCTGTTCCCAACATGGAGAGTTCCCACTATCCCTACTAAATGTTTTATTTTAGATTATGGAGAATGTAACTGGAAAAGCTGGAAAGTACAAAAGTGCATAAGTCCTGTAGCACTCCTTACCGGAAATCCCAAAGTGTTAATGGGTGCTCGAAATGACCGCGGATGGCGCCGCACACAGTACAACTTTGAATAGAGATGTCATCAGCACACCAGCACGACAGAATCTAAGTCAGTGCAAATCAATTTATTGCTGATGACATCTCTATTCAAAGTTGGAAAAGCTGGAACACACAAAGGTTTGGCAGGGACACATAAAATTCATAAGAACACGGGAACAGAGTCGGAGATGATGAGAGATCTCACTGTTGGAGCATCCAAGACCTATAAGAAGCTAGAAGCTGACTCCGCCTACCTGACTCCATCTGATACCAAAATATCAATTCTGGGCAGACTGACCCTTTAAGGAAAAACTAAGTGATGTTCAGTGAACCACGTGTGCTAAAAGGAAAATGTAACAGCAGGGGTGTAAGGAAAATCATGAGGCACCATAGCACAATTTTGTTGTCCCCCTACCCTTTCCTTCCCCATTAAAATGTTTCTTACTGCACAAAGGTGATGTGACTATCAATGATCCAGAGGTCTGACTTCAGCCCTTCTTTACTGGAAACTTTAGTTAGTTTGCAGTTAATGTGTGTAGATTTCCTTAAAGCCTTCCTAATGGGCCCCCAACCCCGGGCCCCATACAGCCACATGAGTGTATGGCCACTGTCACTTTACTGTGCAGCAGTTATTTGAATTTCTACCACAAGAGAACATATGAATGTGGTCACTGATCTTAGAAAAAACACATCATCACTATGGCCATTGTTTTTTTTTTTATCTTCTTCTAATAATTCTAAGTGGGGACCACATAATGTGAATAAACCCAAATGGTCCCAAATACCAACCACAGGGGGAGTCATGGTGGTAGGGAGAAGCCTTCTGGTAGGACATATTTAGTAAAGGGCTGCAGGAAATAGGTGTGTCCTTGTCAGTAATGTATGCACAGGCATTTAGAGCTTCACCTGGACCTCCAGATCTCCAACCCAAGGAGTGAAGTAACATTAATATAGAAAACACTTTTTTACTGTGTGAAACGCCCCCCTCGGTGACCAACTGCAGCTTTCGGGCCGCTGAAGACTGTAGACAGTAGTCTGTATTGTCATGCCTGCAGTCTCTAACAGCTTTCTGTAGCATTACATTCACTGACTATTTGGTGATGTCAGGGGCCCCTAATTTAAAGTAGTGTGACCACCACTGGTGTACATGGTGGGCAACACCTATGAGCTTCAAAGCTCCACAATGTATCCTTCAATTGGAGTCTGGAGGAAGCAGTGCTCTGGGGCACTGTGAGCACCCATATACATAAAACATAGCCTGTCTCTAAATGAAACCTTATACTCATAATTCTTTTCTTTACTGACCTGCATTGTGTTGCTGAGGTATCGCTGTCTGATGTGGCATCGTCCTAGGAAACACAATGAAACATTAGTCTTTGGTTTATGGTAGAACCTTTTGTATGTCAAGCAATGGTTTTTTCTTTTTCAACAGGGGTGCAGCTACAAACCACGGGCAGTGGCAAAGTTTTGATTTGGGTATCCCGTTCAGCGCTTGCCCTCTTCAGTGACATCTCTGCAGCAACTGGCATTCCCTTTCTATTGGTAGTTAGTGGAGAACCCCCCCCCCCCCCCATTGGTGGTCATGGGAGAAGGGACCATTTACATTGTTAATCAGTAGAGAGTGGCAGTGTTATGTTGGAAATTACCTCTAGAAATAGCCAGATGGGTCAGTCCCAAAGAAGGAGAAGAACTGAGATTCTACTGCCAGGATTCTGCGGAGCTGTATGTGCATGGGCAGGGAAATCAGTCAGCCCACAAAGTAATCTAATATTTTATAAACCCAGTCAGCTATGCTGCAGTTTTTTTTCTAGGGGGACATCCTGAGCTGACTGCAGGCCCTATAGAAGCCACATGGGCTGCTATGGTGCTGTTGTGCCCTTGCTTTGAATGTATCCAGGCATACCAATCAACTTTGCAATTAGAAACTCTGTGGTGTGAGATCTGTGATCACAGTCTAAAGCCAACAGTGCATTGTTTACATTCACCTTGTCTGCACTTTGCACGTACCAACATCACAATATGAAGACACAAGTGCACAACAGGACTTAGAACAACAAGAGAGACATCAGCAATCCCTGTACTTGTCCATTCTACCTGACACACTTGACTGGCTGAAATTACATGGACCGGGACATAGTCTTGACTTAGCTAAATATATGTAGGGGCTGCCTTCTTTTAGCAATCTGCAATCTTTTTCTTCAATGGTTATATGTGCAGTACAGTATAGATATTATCATTTATGGCACCTTGCTGTGCCAACACAGAAATCTAGAGCTGATGCCTTCCTTGTTGTTCCTAGTCCTGGTCTGTAGTTACATTGCAGACTGGAGACAGGCTGAGTGTAAACAAAATGTTTTCTTTTATATATAAAGGGGAAGGGTCCAACAACAATTAATACTCACTGCTGTGTCTGCATCAGTGGCATGCTGGTGTTGTCATAGGTGTCAGTGTGAAGGGGCGGCACCATTTCGCCAGTAACCGGGTGGAAAACTGGAAGCGTGGACAAAGGCCAGGCAATCTCCCGGTTCTTGGACATGTCGCGGAGTTCTTTGGTTGATTTCTGGATGGCACTGTGGTGAACGAGCTGAATGCTGGAATAAAAAAAATAAAAAAAGGTCTAATATTACATTTTGCTTATTTTACTCATATCGCAGACCAATGGGTCTGGGAGACTTTTCTGCTGTATTGTAAAACTGAAAGATATTAAAGAGTTTCATGACTTCAATACATCATCCATATGCAAAGTTGTCAGCAAGAAACATTTATTCAATTGTTGGAGTAAAGTTTGGTTCTCATTGCTTATAGTATGCCATGGGAAACAGACGCTACCAGTTCGTTCTCAGAATTTTAATAGTTAAGTGTAACGGACACAAGGGCTGCAGGAGCTTCACAGCAGAATTACACAGAGACTTGGGGGAGGTGTGAGCTGGGGCTTAGCATTGGGGGGGGGGTTTGCAAATGGAATGTAGCCGAAGCGTCTGCAACTATGTTGGGATACCTTTGTCATCTGCCCGGCTGACACCTTCACCTTCATGATCACAGGCACAAAGACACTCACAGACAATGAGACTGATAAGATAAGGGGCTACGTGACCCTGTGCATTATGGGTTTACTTTGGGGTTGAATGTTGTTCCTATTGGTTCTCGGTTGGGCGTGATTCATGTTTATTGATGAAGGGGGATTGTCCCTTATTGCCTATAACTGTTTGAAAATAAAGGAATTCATTGTTTTTACGCCAAACTAGTGTTGTCTAGTTCCTGGGGGAACGAGGGTAAATGCTGGCCAGGAAGGTGCCGAGCAAGGAAGCAGTATTTGGCGGAGATACCAGGCAGGCTATAAGGAGAATCCGTCACAATAAGGACCTAAGATATTGGCCAAGTCTACCCAAATTTGATATTTCAGTTTGGCAAGGCTAACCAAAAAGTTGGCAATTTCTTAGGTCCCTCTGAGACTCCCGTGGAGAGATTTTCTGAGAATCCTCTACTTGGTTGTTGTGGCCATTACAAAGCCAAGTGATGGCATGAGGCTTCCCGATGGCTTTTTCATAATGTAGAATAGATAAATGAGGACACCAGCTATTGGAGAAATGTAGAAATGCTTATCTTTAGTGATGGGCGAATATGCCAAGGTTCAATCTTCAAAGAATTTGGTGAATCTTGTTTGATGTTCGAGATACCAAACTTAGATGGAAATCCTATTAAAGTCAATAGGGGGGCTATACTTGTTAAATTCTATCAATTTTAGGATTAATAGGCAAACCACTGTCAAAGGCATGGGTAGCTGGGGACTGCCATGGAGGTCATGCACCAATTCAAAAGATTAAAATAAAAAAATGGGGAAAACACAGCAACACCACAATCTGATTCATTGCAGTTGGAAAAAAAAAGGTTTTTCAGGTTGCTTTAGCAGCGACACATGCTTTGTATCAAGCGTTAATAAGCTCTGACTGGCAGATAGAAAGCGGGCAGTAGCTTGCTGCGGCTGTCCCTGTTTTTGATTATGCAAAACTATCCCACCGCTTGTCAATTTTTAGGAATAATTACCAGACAACAGATGGTAAAACTGGGCAGCAGCAGGACATTTTTTTTAATGAAGGAGAACTGGCTGAAACATACTGAAGAAAATGAGTGCAGGCAAGGGTTTTACTATATGAATTAGGAGACTGAAGATAACACAGTAGTGGAAAATTGGTTAGAAGCAGAACACATTTGATGAGCAATCCTAGGCCCAAATTTACTAGAGACAAAAAACAGCTACAAGAACACAGATACTGCACAGAATACAGCATTGCAAAACTAGCCAGCAGCAGGACAGTCTTAGCATTAGGGACAATAGGCCTAAAGTCTGTATGCCTAACTTGTATCTATGGGGATAGGGGGGTGCATTGAATGTGAGGGATATAAAAATGAATTTAAAAAAAACCCTAACCTACCCACAGCTGAAATAAAAGCCAATTATTAAAGGGAAGCTTTGCAGCAAACCACAAAATGTTTTCTATAGACAGAGAAGCATCTAAATGTAACCAGTGACCACAAATCAATCACAAAATGAAAAACAAAAAAAGCTCCAACAACAGAAACATAAAGGCAGCAAAGGGGTTAACTGCCCAAAGTGCTGGCAATCAAAATTAAAGTACATTTGCCTAACTAGCCCTGGTATCCACCAGTTTGTCAGCAGTTACTATGCTTTTCCTACAACAGCTTCCGTTGCATTGACACTATGGCTGCTCTGTCCCCCCACCCCTTTAATAATGGAGGGGTGAATTAACTAAAAGACCCCTCATTGGTCCTTCTAAGCCCGCTGGCCATATTCAATGGTCATGCAGTAAATGATGGTTTAAAAAAATTATCCTGGGTGAATGTACACATAAGTTCACCCAGGACCTTTAAGTCCTGTCAAATAGTGATGGGCTTGGGCGTGTTCGCAGCTCCACGTGCCGAGCCCGCCAGGAAGCTGACAGCGCCGCAGCTCCAATCACAGGTACTGAAACATTATCATGGTCCGCAGCTGCAGAGATCGGGAAATGTCTCCGTGCCTGTGATTGGCGCTGCTGTCAGCTTCCTCGGGGGCTCGGCACGTGGAGCTGCGAACGTGCCCGAGCCCATCACTACGGTCAAATTAGATTGCTAACTGGTAACCTCAGAATCTCTAAGAGACTAAAATGTTTACAATTTAGAGCCATACGCTCTATTGGCTCATTTGTTGACGGGGAAGTGGGTGGCTATGTAAGGTCCTGCAATGACTCTAACTACTGTAGGAATGGACTGATTACTACAGAGGATACTATATAGATAACTTGTTTATAAATTTATAGGAATCCATGACATTGGAAATTTAACAGCAACTTACAGTTGTTTGTAGAAAAGGCAGGTAAGGACCCTACATATAGCCCTCATATAGCGGCTTGTTTATGAGCTTAAGATCTAAAGCGAATACAAACAAAAAACACTCCCATCACCATAGTGGAATGCTTATTGTATGTATTTTTTTAGATGCAGCATCCTTCAACCACATCCAGGCTTTAGAACTCAAGAAACACCAATGACATGCCCTCTTCAAATCACGAGGGTCTTCAGTAGGTGACCTTTAAGAGAAAAATATCCAGTGTCGTATTCCTGCTTAAAGGGTTTGTCCACTGAAAACATATTTCAGGTTTGGGTTACTATGATAGGTTGAATCACCCATTTGTTTCTTCTACTGTACTTCTTGGGTTGGTGGATAGAGTAGCAGCCACAGAAGGCCCTTAATCCATGCTAGAGAAATCTACTCCACAACACCCATCCTCAGTCCAACTTTCTCCCAACCCTCACTTGCACAAGCTCCGATGAAGGGGGGATCAGTAAAGCCTTTGAAACCATACGTCTGTCACTTTCTTCATTGTACCATCGTACCAAACTTTCTTATGTCCCTTGGGGGCACCAGTGATGTGAATTCCTTGTAGTTTCCTGATTTTCTCCCCTGGTCAAATCCATCAGAGCATAGGAGATGCCTTTTTAGTGGTCATGCAAAATAGGTGGATCGGGAACCTCAAGGATAGAGGTCTTGCAACTGTAGACCCCAGAGATATAAAAATCCAATAGGGTTATACAAATTATCTGCGTCTACCTAAAACCTCCCGAAAAAATGCCCCCCAACCAAAAAAATCTTAGTCACTTTTTTTTAAAGATTGGTGAGAGTTCATTGTATATATTTTTGCAGGCCCTAAAAACAGCCATTCTGCCTTTAGAAGACCTAGAGTAACCTCATACAAAGCAGCTTCTCTGGTGCACATTTATTAATACAAATATCAAGGTCTGTGAACCGACACACCTAGTAAACCTACATGAACTACAAGCAGCGTTCACGAAAATAATTCATGAGTGAATGCCAAGGTGGAGCATGAAACACATGGGTGAGGCATGGCAAGCTACAGTGAGGTGGTGGTGAACATTAGGTGACAACAAGGTAACATAGAGAAGACACTTACTCTGGTGTTTGCATGTTTCTCTTTTCCCTAGAAACGAAACAAAATGTATGAATTAAATAATAGCATTGATATTCGGAGCACTTCTTCAGCTACAGATGAGCAATGAGTTCTAGATGAGCCATAAATGCTGCTGTAGGTACTGAAGAGGAACAGTTACTTACATCAGTATTTATTAGGATGGTGGAAATGATTTTTAGATGTTCTACAGGTACGTGTGATCAAGAGCGTTCCATCCTATGAGCAAAATACTCCAAACAGCCATGTGGTAACTCACTCATGGAGCCCTCTCTGGTTCAAAGTGTTTCTTTCTAACCCAATTTATATCAACTTGATATAAACTAAATGAGCAACAATAAAAGATATTGGGTCTCATATGTTAAAGTAAACAGCTGGATTACAGCTAAACGTGACCAATTGGCTGGCAGATGTGGCTTGGCCATTATCCAAAAAATTGTCACGCCTACAAAATGTAGAATTTCTGAACTGAAGTCAATGGTATCCAAGCCAAGCTTGAAAGAGATTTGTTTTACAGAGCAGCACATTATGCTCTGCCTGAGGAGATGATGGGGCCTGGTAGAACTGACAATTTCAGGGTGCTTGAGCAGTAGCAGAAGCAGATATAAGGCAGCCTTTGGTCTCTTTCTCCCAGAAGCGTTTGGAAATTGTAAGCACCAAAAATAACACTAAAATTTGGATAAAGACATGTAAGCTGTGGAAAAATTATTATTATTAATAATACTAAAGCTGAATCTCCCATACGGGATCCGAATTTCAGAATGGCATTATGGCATTCCGAGTACCATTCGGGTCTGGGAGCCATATACATATATCACTAAAGCTGAATCTCCCAGACCCAAATGGCATTTCCGAATTACATTCGGGAGCTCCCAAGTGCAATTCGGGTCTGGGAGCCATGTACATATACTGTATTCCTATAGCTGAGGCTCCCAGAGCCGAATGGCATTCAGGAGCTCCCGAATGCAATTCGGAAAATCGCAACCCGAATGCCATTCGGGTCTAGGAGCCTCAGCTTTAGTATTATATGTATATAATGTACATGGCTGCCATGTTGCCGTAACAAAAATTTGTGTTCAGACCCATTCGGATGAATTAAACCGAAAAACACATCTGAGTGGACAGAAAAGTCACATGTCCGATTCAGTTGAGTTTTTGACCGAAATTCGGACAGGATACGAAATTCAGAAACGGAAATTCGGATTCGGACACATTTGGATGCAGTGGGATTTGGAAATTCGGGTGTGAAACGAATCACACATGTCTATTTGGATATGGCCATCAGAATTCGCGATATTAGATCTTAATTAAATAAGATCTGAATGTTGGGATAAACTCTTTTCACAGCTCTGTTTTTTTTAGTGGGGGGTGGAAAGTGTTGGAAATGTTTTTATTAGCTGCCTTCTTTTAAATCTTTTTCAATGTTGATTTTGTGAAATTTTATACACGAAGGCAATGAAGCTTTAACCAACCAGGGCAAACAGCCAACTGTAATGGAATCTTTTGGAAGACACAGAGGAAACCTCTACCTTTTCTTTGACTGAGACTAGTTCTGATTGGTTTCCCGGTGTCCACAATACTTGGTCATATTTTAAAAATAATGGTTTCCTTTGGTGATCTTTGGCTAAGGTGCCTAGTTCAGTTTAGTTTAATGAGTAGAAGAAAATCTAAGCGGCTCTGTTGACCACTTTCAATGGAACTCATTAGATATGGAGTTTACGCCAGAGCTTTATAGCTCCTCATTTGGCTACCCTTTAAACATATCATGGTTCCAGTAGATTTGGGAAAAGCTAAAATGCCTTAAAAATAAATATTTCTAGACTCTACTAAGGTCCTGCACTCTGCCTGGGATCTACATGTATGCACAATCTAAGATTTGTTCTTGTAATTAATGGCAGATGAAATATATTGTTCACTTGAGATTCTAATATACAGGATCAGTCCACCAAAAAATGATAGTTCAGAGTCGATGGAAATCTTTAATATCCACACCTTCCTATACCTCTTAGGGAGACCATCAGTGAGACCTCTGTAGCATAGAGTTCCCAGTTCCCTTTGCCAACAATGACCACTGCACGGGATCTTGTTCATCCAGTGATGGTGGCGTAAAGCCAGGAAGTGTGTTTGCTGGATCTCACTTCTGGAATCCCTTTTAGATATAAGAAGCTACTGGCTGATTCACCCCACTGGACTCTCCCCAATAACTGGAAGGAATATCAGTTTTGGGTGAACTGATCCTTTAAGTATACAATTCTAGTAAGGACATCGGCTCTGGATCACTGTAGAACAAATAATAATAATGACTCACAATGCAGATTTTTAGGAATGACTGAAAAATGGAGATGCAAAGACAGTACACATGTCGAGAACAAACACATACATGGAGATTAATGTCCGGCTGAAATAAACTTCATGAAAGAATGGAAGTCAAAATGTTAACATGCCTTTTGTTATGTTACTTGCTGCTTTTTTTCCCCCATTTCATCTACATAGAAAGTTCTAATCAAACTTATTTGTCCTTTGGAAAAACTTTGAAGACTGATCTAATAGAATGATATATTAAATGTACACTTTACAATGCGTCAAATCAGGCAAACGTGACAACATTGTGTGAAAATTTGATACAAAACAAAAATAAAATTGCATTTTGTGATACATTTGACCTCTGAACGTGTAACGGTATAGTACTGCCTATGGAAGCAAAAGAAAATCCCCTGATTTTGTCCTGATACAATATTGCTAACAAAGTTTCGAGTAACCCTTGGCATGAAATTACAGGTTCCTATCTAGTCAATTCAGTGTGATGATCTCATGCCTGTAGGGGGCCCTGAGTCTCTTGATGGCCACTGTTGGGGGAACTAGCAATATGGTAGATGAAAAAACCTGTTCCTGTAAATAATAGTACTCCTAAAAAGTCAACACTGGCCCCCTGTACCCAGCTCTGCCCCCTCCAATTTTCATACAAGCTATTAGAAGGCCATACGTTTGCGAACACCTGACCATCATGACTGTGCGAACCTGTTGGACATCCCATTCCAGAACCATCGGCATTAATTTGGAGTTGGCCCCTGCACTTTGATACAATAACAATCTCCACTCTTTTTGGAAGACTTTTAACAAGATTCTGCTACGTGTCTGCGGGTAGTTGTGTTTGTTCAGCCACAAGACCATTTGTAAGGTCAGGTGCTGATGTTGTAGGAGAAGGTGTCCAATAAAGTTGAGGTCAGGGCTCTGCACAGGCCCCTTGAGCTTCTCCACACCAAACCATGGGTCTGTGCATCTGCACTCAATTTGGAGGGATGTTCATATACTTTGACCATATAGGGCAAAAACCCAAAAACCGTAAAAGCCAAGCTTGGAGCCACCTCTCCCACATGCCGAGGCCTCCTACTGGGCAGTGAGGGCAACTGATTTCCGCCTCTAAATTGGACTAGGTCAAAGACCTCAGATTTGGTCAGGGCTGGATTTACTTTCTCTGCTGCCCCAATGCCAGATTCCGCAATGCGCCCCCCTGTACGGTGGATGACATTGCCGAGATTACTTGTACAAAACAAGCGGCGGCTTCCCCGCTGTACATTTAGCTCGGCTTGCCCAAAGCAGGGCTAAATGTAGAAAACAACTACACGCCCGACGCCCGGAACTGCATGTCCCGGGCGTCCGAAGATAGGAATTCCACGCCCCTGCTGCCCCTCTACTCCCTGCCGCCCCAAGGCAGGGCCTCGGTTGGCCTTGTGGGAAATCCGGCCCTGGATGTGGTATTTCATGTGGTTTCTGAAATTCTGTATAGATGATCTATGAGAACATCAATGCATATCCTTTAAAGGAAAATGAATTATTCATATAATTTCAGACTCTTATGTATCTAGATCTATTTGATTTAACATGCGTATATGTTTTTTCATCAGGTGCTGATTCCGAATATCCTAGGTTTGTGACAGGTTCACTTTAAGGATGACCATACTTGGGATGACTGTTGGTAAGACTTAATAAAGGTCAGCAAGTGAACATACAATAGCACCTTTTTTTCTGCACGTATTTCCTGCAACCTGTTTTCGGGTCATTGTTTCTTATTGTTCATGGAACAAAATGTCAAAGTAAATTATTTAACATCGATATTCAAGATGATTTACAATGAAAGTCTGTACCCTGATACACGACAGAACTTTGACACCATCACCTGTTGAAAGCTTAAAGAGGTCCTGAACGTGAAGACTCGCTATAGTATACGGAACATCTAGAAATTTTAATTGTGTCTAAATAATCCCACGAAGATCTATCTGGGAAAAAAAATCAGCGCAATTCCTGGCATGTGAGGGCACCTAGGCTCTCCTGTACATGTATGTGAGGGTGCCTAGGCTCTTGGAACATCTAGAAATTTTAATTGTGTCTAAATAATCCCACGAAGATCTATCTGGGAAAAAAAATCAGCGCAATTCCTGGCATGTGAGGGCACCTAGGCTCTCCTGTACATGTATGTGAGGGTGCCTAGGCTCTCCTGTACCTGTATGTGAGGGCGCCTAGGCTCTCCTGTACCTATATGTGAGGGTGCCTAGGCTCTCCTGTACCTGTATGTGCGGGCACCTAGGCTCTCCTGTACCTGTATGTGAGGGCGCCTAGGCTCTCCTGTACCTGTATGTGAGGGCGCCTAGGCTCTCCTGTACCTGTATGTGAGGGCGCCTAGGCTCTCCTGTACCTGTATGTGAGGGTGCCTAGGCTCTCCTGTACCTGTATGTGAGGGCGCCTAGGCTCTCCTGTACCTGTATGTGAGAGCACCTAGGCTCTCCTGTACCTGTATGTGAGGGTGCCTAGGCTCTCCTGTACCTGTATGTGAGGGTGCCTAGGCTCTCCTGTACCTGTATGTGAGGGCACCTAGGCTCTCCTGTGCCTGTATGTGAGGGCGCCTAGGCTCTCCTGTACCTGTATGTGAGTGTGCCTAAGCTCTCCTGTACCTGTATGTGAGTGTGCCTAGGCTCTCCTGTACCTGTATGTGAGTGTGCCTAAGCTCTCCTGTACCTGTATGTGAGGGCACCTAGGCTCTCCTGTGCCTGTATGTGAGGGCGCCTAGGCTCTCCTGTACCTGTATGTGAGTGTGCCTAAGCTCTCCTGTACCTGTATGTGAGTGTGCCTAAGCTCTCCGGTACCTGTATGTGAGGGTGTCTAGGCTCTCCTGCGCCTGTATGTGAGGGTGTCTAGGCTCTCCTGCGCCTATGGCCTCATAGCAGTGTATCTGCAGTATGAGATCTTCGGTACTGCTGCCTCTGACTACGAGTCTCAGGAGATTTGGAGTAAGATTTGGTGATGTCACTACTATGACACTACTACTCAGTTCCTTTATAAGGGTCATGTCATATCACCGACATTGTCCCAGACACTTGCAGCAGCTACAAATGACTTTGATTTATTGATCCGGCAATGGGAAGCCAGTTGCTGGGGATGGATGCAATGCTTCTCTATGTAGCTGGAATTCACTGGTGTGCCATGGTCACCAACAGCTGTATTGGATATAATAGGCAGCTATTGACGTTGGCAATTCTGTAGTTCCAATGCTGCAAAAAGTCATCAACTGAGCTACAAATCCCCGGAGAGCTTCCACTCCCTGCAATCCATTTATTCCTCACAACATCCTGTAGCCGATACAAACCCCTCGTGTAACAGGTCCCTCAGTGTGTGGGGTTACTGCACAGAGAGAAAGTTATAACAATGTCTCGGCATTGTGGTGCCGCCATCACCCTGCACTGCAAGGGTTAAGTGCTCATTCTTTGCCTTGGGTAAAAGTTATACTCACCCGATCCTCTGAGCCAACTAGCTCTCAGACCAGTCCCTGGAGTGTCTCTCCCCTTCCTCTGCAGTGGACTAAGGTCCCTTAGTCATCACATTCCATACACAGTGTACAGGATGTGCAGGATGTGAGGACGCCGAGGGACATACCATCACTGCAGCAGAGGAGACAGGCAGGAGCACGCGCTGTCACTGGCGGCCGACTGTGAGGCTTGGGTGAGTATAACTTTGTTATTTTTGACCCTAGGCAAACATTTGTACCTAACCCCTGCAGTGCCGGGGTAACCACACTGCAAGGGTTAATAACATTTTTAACTGGAGTTGTTCTTTAAGTGAAGCAGAGAAAAATCATGTCTTCTGCCCTGATAGACAGGGTGTGGCAGAGCTGTGTAAACCTCAAGGCTGGATGGACAGAAGCACATATACTGTTGTGAGTAAAGCATCTCTCACATGTGTGTTCCGTCTATGTATTTGGAGTATTTTTGTACCATGTTGCCATTTCTGGTTTACATAGTGGAGAACACAGTCATGAAAGGGCCCCTGTACAGTTATTGGGCTCCCCATACCACTGCTGTCCAGGTACAAACATGTATTCACCGTGTATAGCAGCTGGCTAGATAACTAGATACACAACCAGACAGAAGCAGATGGAGGATAGCCTTCCAAATTCCATGAAGTTACAAATGGCTTAAAATACGTAACAGCAAACATTCACTTCCAGTTCCAGTCCAAACATTGTCATGAGGAAATAGACTCCTGGCCCGGGAGGTAGTATTGTCAGTTCTCGCTGGTTGATGTCACATAGGAACCAGTGGCGTAACTATAGCAGCCCAGGCAGCTGCTACGGGGCCTGAGAGTGGAAGGGGGCCCTATTAGGCTGTTGAGGCAAATTAAACCTAGAACATGTGAAGATAACACAGTACTGTATCATTAAGGGTTGGAGCGGTTGGAAAGCTGATGCCAGATGCACAAGAGAGATCTCTGTGTCATTAGTTACAGCTCAGAGAGAGGTCGTTAGGGGGGCCCTCATCATGTTTTTGCTATGGGGCCCCGTGATCTGTAGTTATTCTCCTGGTAGGTACTACAAACCGATAGCATGGTTGGGGCATCGTGAAAAAATGCCCTGGTCTAAGTGACCCAATTTGACCCATATCTAGCATTAACGGGGCCCCTCACTCCCAGACGGCCCTTGTGCAGCTGCGCAGTTTGCAGAAATGGCGTTTTTACATCTGAACATGAAGATTCTCTTTCCACTGCAAGCAGTCTGCCTATTGACAAGTGCTGGGATACGTTTTCAGCCACATGATGAGTGCATAGACATTAAGGTGGTCACACATGCATCGATATCGTCATACAACCCATCATTCCTCGCCACTGAGATGATCCAATTGAATCAAAATTGCAAACCAAAGATCTTCTATTCATTTGATTCAGTGAGCGTTCTTCTATTCATTTGACTCTGCCAAGACTATCGGCTGTAGCGGAATTTTGCTGATCGCTCCTGATCAATTGAACAAATAACGATCGGAATTCAGATCGAGCAAGTGATTGCTTTTACCAGATCGTATGCATTGATAATTGATAGATCACATTTTCTATCAGTATATTCATTTGATTGCAAAGGGCAGAACGCTACCCTGGGGTTCATTTATAGAAGTTGATAAGTATGTTCAGATACCATGCAGGGGCGTCCCGCGGCCGGGTCTCACCCGGAGCGCATCCTGGATGACGTCATTGTGCATGCGCGACCATATAATTGAGGCGGGGACGTTCACCCTCTCTCCTGACACTGTCAGGCACTCGGTCCATGACCGAGCGCCCGACTTTTTACAGGGGTGACACCAAAATGACTGTCAGTCATTTTGGTGTCACCCCTACAATTGTGTCACCCGGGAGCACCCCCCTTGTGATGCCACTGATACCATTCACCGTACTAGGTACAAGTACAAGTCCAGATACTTTTCCAGCTCCAGGACCAGACTAGAGTAGAGAAAAATTCTAAAGTTAGGAGACAGCTGTCATTGATAAGGAACATGCGGAGCTCCTGGGATTTGTGCATCCCTGATTTAATGTTTTATTTGTTATATATATATATATATTTATTAGGGATGCACCGATACCATTTTTCCAGACTAAGTAGTACAAGTACTGATACTTGTCCTCACAGATACAAGTACTGATCCATTTTTGTTTAGTGTCATGTGACAGTTTTTCTAAAACAATACAGAATAATGATTTCAGGACAGCGGTGGAGCGCCAGAGCCCGGTCCCAGCTGCAACTGCTGCAACCCTGGTAGTTCTCATGAAAAGTATCGGCACTGGTATCTGAACATCCCTAGAATGTCCTATGCTCGCCAGTGCCATCTAGGGGCGCTAGTGCCATATAGCAGGCGGAACGTTTATAAATGAACCCCCATACACGTTGCATTGTTTGATATTTTAATCAATGGATTGCTTTTTTCTGATTGCTCGCACCTAACTTGATCACAAATATGTGTATGGACACCTTTAGTCAGATCTGGCCAGCAGACCAGCACCAAGAGAAAAGAGCAGCAGGAAGCAAAGCCGGTCGTTAATGAGTAAATATAACTGCCCTCATCTACATATACAATTAAAAAAAGCATGCATAGGTAAAAAGCTTTTTTTTTTTCATTGAAAAGATCATTTACATGGAGCTGATGTCGGTCTAAAAACGTTACCATAGTTCCCCATTAATGGTACTGCCACCAAATTTTTCACAAGACATAACCAGGCTCAATTTAAATTGGCGCTGAGGTTTCACAGCTTTTAGCATAATTTATTCTAAACTGTTAGTGTATATCGGAAGGCGCAACAAACAGCAACTAATGTAAACACTATTTGCAACCAGACAACAAAACTCACATCTGGTAAAACATCTAAATACCACGGTGCAAAAGTACCCGGGTCGGCTTCGGTCCGCACCGCGGGTTCCTCAATACACAAACCTGTAAACTCCTGCAGCCTAAATAAAGTTGTTTGACTTTGAATGTAAGCCAAAGTTGGCACGAATAAAAAAAATGGAGGTCACTCACATTCCTTCTCTCCGGCAGCACATGATGTAGCCGAGTATGGCAAACAGCACCAGAGCCACGGCGGAGGGCACAGCCAGGGTTATGAAGAAGTCTATATAATAATCTCGGGCCTTCAGGGTCTCTGATGGCGGTTTATACTCCCCGACGTCTGGCAGGATCCCTTCTCCGCGCACAACTTCCTGCGTGATCAACACTTGTTTTGTTTTATCAACCTGGAAGCAAAGATGGTAATCAATGTACATTGCCTGCTACAGAAAAACAGAATTCTATTAAAAGAAATTTAGAATAGTATTTTTTTTCCTGTTTTACATCTTTTTTTTTTTTTTTTTACTATAAATATACAAATGTATTTGTTATAAATTCATGTTTTTATTATAATTTTTTATAAATGTATTTATTAAACAAATAAAAACACGATATTCTAATTATTCGAGTTTCACCTGTAATACATGACACAAGAATCACATGGGTTTTCTAAAGTAAGAGGCCAGCAGAAGCTGACTGCTTTTAGGCTCCCTGTGTCTGTTTGAAATCTTAAAACGGAGGTGTAAAAAGGAAGGGGGAGAAAGGGAAAGGGAAAGGAGTCATAGATTCGGCTCATTCACTTGTGTGTGTGCATTTTAGCTTGAGCTACTGAGCTCTGCAAATAACAGACTTTTGTTTACGAGCATTAGGTAAAGAGATAGAAAACAACATAACAATAAGCATATGCAACACTTTCCCCCATAATCCCCCCTCCACCAAACTTTACACTTGGCACAATGCAGTCAGGCAAGTACCGTTCTCCTGGCACCCGCCACAATCAGGAAGAAGGATGGAAAGAGCAGCCGCATGGTCACATGACCACAGAATAAAACTAAAAAACACTTTTATTAGAAAAATACACTTGTATTTAAAAATTAGAAACAGTATTTGAATGTCATAGTGGGATTTCCATTGTATGACTTTGCAAATGGAAGCAAAAATGAACATTCTTAGTATATTTTCTTTCCAGGTCGAATGTATTGTCATAAAAATACCACATTCTGGCCACTAGATGGAGCTGAGGAAATAAAACCGTATGTTCTATGCTCCTTAGCTCCATCTGGTGGCCATAATAGCCAAATGCTTATTTCTTATGCTCCTCAGCTCCATCTAGTGGTCATAAGGCGGCCAAAGATTTGTAGGGTAAATGACTTTGCCAATTATTTATAAACAGACCCCCTAGGTTTTGTGCAGCATTGTGGCATGGTGTTGGGGGCCCCTAGGTAAATAGGTGGACCTTGCATTTTTAGCGCAAGGTCTACTTATAGAAAATTCACCTCACTTCTTGCCCTATGACCACTGCACCAGAAATGTCGTTAACACTAATTTACCGTAGCAGATGGTTCTAACGTTCTGATGGGAGTAGGACATGACAGAAATCAATGTGGACCTACCAGTGAAATCTTGCACCAGTCTATGTGGAACTGAGCTCGGAACTTTTTATCACAGCTGATGACCGGCTCCATCTCTTGGCTGCACCTCAGCTGGTTCTGGGGGTTCTCCACCTCACGAAGACATGAAGAGAAGGGGACATCGGCTCCCACCATGACGTAGACCCTAGAAGAACATGAACAATATCTCGTTCCCAAACCTTGACAAATGAGGGACATCACCTTCACGGTGCAGCTTGGAAGAGAAAAGGGAAAGGGCTGGCAGGCCTCCCTCAGGCCCACAATATAAGAGTTCCTGTCACAGATCTAAAAAAGTGGAGGTAGCTGGAGAAACTAATTTGTTAATTTACAATGTGCCTCTGAATCTGCAACAAATGTAACTTCTTCAGGAAGAGTCAGTTCGCTACTACGGCTCCCTCCCCCCTTGTACGTCATAGCCCTTTCCTCTTCTTCGTGTGTCTAATTACTGCTGTACTGACCTAGCTCCTCCACCCCTCCCTTTCCCCTCCCAAATAACCTTTATGTAGGAGTGAAGGGGAATACTATAGGAGTAGGGATGCACAGACACTGGTTTTCGGTATCGAGTATATGTACCGATATTTATCTTTCTGTACCGATACCGGTACTTCCAGGAGCATGAAGTTTCCTTCCCAGCCAATCAGAAAGCCGGGCGAAGGGTCATTACACGCTGCCCGGCTTCCTGATTAGCCGGGAAGTTGGCTCCTTGCTGTTTGGCCGGCTCAATGCTGATTGGCTGGGAAACTGGCCTCCCAGCCAATCAAGAAGCCGGGCGGCGAGGAATGACCTGGCTTCCTGATTGCTCGGGAAGCCAGAACCATACTGTTTGACTGGCTCAGTGCTGATTGGCTGGGAATCCGGCTTCCCGGCCATTCAGCATTGAGCCGGCCAAACAGCATGGAGTCGGCTTCCCAGCCAATCAGGAAGCCAGGCGGTGAGTAATTGAGCCAGCCAAACAACGAGGAGCCGGGAAGCTGGCTCCTTGTTTGCTTGCGGCACTGAGATTTCCTCTGACTAGAAGTTACAGTATCGGGGGTAAGTATCGGAGCATTTGGGCGAGTACGAGCCCAAATACTCGGTATCGGCACAGATACTGATACTAGTATTGGTATCGATGTATCCCTACTGTAGAGTATCACTTGAGTCTGCTGCGGCTACTGACATCATCTCCAAGATGGGGGCTCCCAACAGCAGTCTCAGGTGTTTTGGATGTCTACACAAGGGAGGCTTTTATAGGTAAATAACCTCCATAAAATTACTTAAATGCACATACAGTGTGTAATCTTATGGGGAGATTGTTATTGAGGTGACTCGTCTGGCAACAGGGCGTCTTGAAGACCTTCCCTTCTAACCCAACCATACCCCAGATGGTAATAAATGATGCCAGTGGGGAGGTAAACCTTAACATGCTCACAGGTGGTCTCACATTATAACAGCTGAAGGTATGAGAAATGGCATTGTAACAGAACAAATGACTGGAAACTGGAAGATGCAGGAAAATCCACAAGTCTTCTTCCCACAGTCATGAGATCCTGACAACCTGTATACATCCATCCATCATTGGTCATGCGGAAGCTGTATTCTATTTCCTGTCTACGGACCGTAAACTTCTGTCCAGTCATTGGGTTCCTTCTGGGTGGAGATTGCTATAATATCCTTTTCTTGCTTGGCTTCCATGCAGATTTAAAGTCTTCGGTACGTAGGTCCTTCATGTAGGACAAACATGCAGCGCATGACTGAGCACACTGTGATTCCATTTGCAGCACACAGGGCCGTCTCTTTAATGAGGCAGCCTGAGGCTGTTGCCTCAGATGGCATCTCCTTGGGTCACGTGGGGAGGCGGCAGGCAGAG